CAGTGGCGCAATCTTGGCTCACTGCAACCTCCGCCTCCCAGGTTCAAGTGATTCTCCTGCCTCAGCCTCCCAAGTACCTGGGACTACAGGCGTCCGCCACCATGCCTGGCTAAGTTTTGTATTTTTAGTAGAGACAGGGGTTTCACCATATTGGCCAGGCTGGTCTCGAACTCCTGATGTTGTGATTCGCCCACCTCGGCCTCCCAAAGTGCTGGGGTTACAGGCGTGAGCCACCGCGGCCTGGCCTCTAACACAATTCTCTAGTGTATATCCTTTTTTTTTTTTTTTTTTGAGACAAATTGTCACTCTGTAACCCAGGCTGGAGTGTAGTGGTGCTATCTCTGCTTACTGTAACCTCCGTCTCCCGGGTTCAAGTGATTCTTGTGCCTCAGCCTCCCGAGTAGCTGAGATTACAGGCGTGAGCTACCACGCCCAGCTAATTATATATTTTTAGTAGAGAGGGGGTTTCATCTTGTTGGTCAGGCTGGTCTTGAATTCAGGTGATCCGCTTGGCCTGGCCTCCCAAAGCGCTGCGATTATAGGTGTGAACCACTGAGCCCAGCCACTAGTGTGTACCTTCAGTCTCCACTTCTCCCTACTCTAGATTTCCTAAACTTCCTTTTCCCTCTGCACTCTTAGCTAATGAGTTTACCTCTGAAGAAATCAAAGAAATTGCCATTATCTTCTCACCAACAAATCTACAAGCTGTACCACATGCTTCTCTTGTTATGATAGGTGGTTTTCTCTGCTTTAACTCTTAGCTTGAGCTCAGGATGCCATCTCTTCTCTCCTCTATTACTTGATACCACAACTGTTCTTCCCCCACCCGCTTTTTGAGAGAAGGTCTTGCTTTGTCACCCAGGCTGGAATGCAGTGGAGGCTCACTGCAACCTCCACCTCCCAGGCTCCCACCTCAACCTCTGGAGTAGCTGGGACCACAGGCACTGCCATGCCCAGCTAATTTTTTAATTTTTTTTTTTTTTTTTGTAGAGACAGGGGTCTCTCTCTGTTGCCCAGGCTGGTCTAGAACTCCTGGGCTCAAGTGATACACCTGCCTTGGCCTCCCAAAGCACTGGGATTATAGGCATGAGCCACTGTGCCTAGCCTCTCTTTTCCACACATGATTAATTTCTTGCTCTTTACTGGATCATTGCTATTAACATACAAGCATTTCCATCTAAACAAAATACCTATTCTGCATTTATTCAACATGTCTTACAGCTGTTGCTCCTTTTCTCTGCTGGCCTTCTCTGCAAAATTTCTATTGAACTGTCTATAGTCACAGTCTACTTTTTTGTGTGTGGGGCTGTTGAATAATTCCTTCCATAATTTTCTACTTTGCAGACAAACTCATCAGTGTGTAGTTTAGAAATCTGCTTTTTTGAAAGACTATAGAAAACAAATGTCAATGACAACGAAATTGTAACATTTATTATACATTTAAGCAACTTTATGGGAAAAAGAATCTGATGAACATCAAATTACTTGCATGCTCTAAAATACCTTCATGCTTTGTAAATGTATACACAGATGTTTTATATAGTATTAACTGAGGTGCACACGATTTGTATTTACTTTTTTCATTTTAGTTATTAACATTATTTCATGTATACTTGTCCATTATTAATATTTTCAAAACAGAAAATACAAAATTGAACAGAGATAAACGAAAAAGGGACTTTGGTTAAGAAAGAAATGCGGCTGGGCGTGGTGGCTTACGCCTGTAATCCCAACACTTTGGGAGGCCGAGTCGGGTGGATCACCTGAGGTCGGGAGTTCGAGACCAGCTTGACCAACATGGAGAAACCCCCTCTACTAAAAATACAAAATTAGCAGGGCATGGTTGCCTATAATCCCAGCTACTTGGGAGGCTGAGGCAGGAGAATCGCTTGAACCCGGGAGGCGGAGATTGCAGTGAGCCAAGATTGCGCCATTTCACTCCAGCCTGGGCAACAAGAGGAAAACTCCATCTAAAAAAAAAAAAAAAAAAAGGCCGGGCGCGGTGGCTCAGGCCTGTAATCCCAGCACTTTGGGAGGCCGAGATGGGTGGATCACGAGGTCAGGAGATTGAGACCATCCTGGCTAACACGGTGAAACCCCATCTCTACTAAAAATACAAAAAAATTAGCCGGGCGTGGTGGCAGGCGCCTGTAGTCCCTGCTACTCGGGAGGCTGAGGCAGGAGAATGGTGTGAACCCGGGAGGCGGAGCTTGCAGTGAGCCGAGATAGTGCCACTGCACTCCAGCCTGGGTGACAGAGCAAGACTCCACCTCAAAAAAAAAAAAAAAAAAAATGCATAAGTATAGGATGTGGGAGACCCAATTTAATAGTATTTCAGGTGAAAATAAAAGGCTTACCCATTTTAGTATACTGTAAATTGAATATAACTCAATAGTGTAACATGGCTATTATTATATTTGTGAATGCATGCTTTTTAAATTTATTTATATTTATTTTTATATTTTTAAGAGGCAGGGTCTTTCTTGTTCCTTTGCCCAGGCAGGAGTACAGTGGTGCAATCAGAGCTTACTGCAGGTTCGAACTCCTGGGCACAAGTGATTCTCTTGTCTCAGCCTCCAGAGTAGAGGATTACAGGTTACACCACCATACCCAGCTAATTTTTTATTTTAAAAAAGTTTTAAATTTAATTTTCTGGCTGGGCATGGTGGTTCACGCCTATAATCCCGGCACTTTGGAAGGCTGAGGTGGGAGGATCACTTGAGCTCAGGAGTTCAAGACTAGCCTGGGCTATACAGCAAGACATCGTGTATACAAAACAAAACAAAAAACAAAGTGGTATACAAACAAAACAAAAACAAACAAACAAAAAAGAAAAGAAAGAGAAAGAAAGGGAGGAAGGAAAAGAAAGAAAAAAAAATAGCAGGATGTGGCAACGCCTGTGGTCCCATCTACTCAGGAGACTGAGGTGGGAGGATTGCTTGAGCTCAGGAGGTGAGGCTGCACGAGCCATGACTGCACCACTGCACTCTAGCCTGGGCAACAGAGCAAGACTCCTGTTTCAAAATAAAATAAATAAGGAAGGCCGGGCACGTGGTGGCTCATGCCTGTAATCCCAGCACTTTGGGAGGCTGAGGTGGGAGAATCACTTGAGCTTAGGAGTTCAAGACTAGCCTGGGCTATACAGCAAGACATCGTGTATACAAAACAAAACAAAAAACAAAAATGAAAGAAAAGAAAGGAAGGAAGGAAGGAAAGAAGGAAGGAAGGAAGGAAAGAAGGAAAAGAAAGAAAAAAAAATAGCAGGATGTGGCAATGCCTGTGGTCCCATCTACTCAGGAGACTGAGGTGGGAGGATTGCTTGAGCCCAGGAGGTGGAGGTTTCTGCAAGCCATGATTGCACCGCTGCACTCTAGCCTGGGCAACAGAGCCAAGAGCCTGTTTCAAAAATAAAATAAATAAATAAAGGCTGGGCACGGTGGCTCATGCCTGTAATCCCAGCAGTCTGGGAGGCCGAGGCGGGCGGATCACCCGAGGTCGGGAGTTTGAGACCAGCCTGACTAATATGGAGAAACCCCGTCTCTACTAAAAATACAGAATTAGCCGGGCGTAGTGGCACATGCCTGTAATCCCAGCTACTAGGGAGGCTGAGGCAGGAGAATTGCTTGAACCCGGGAGGTGGAGGTTGCAGTGAGCCAAGATCGTGCCATTGCACTTCAGCCTGGGCAACAAGAGCGAAACTCCGTCTCAAAAATAAATAAGTAAATAATAAAATAAAATAAAATTTCTTAGACGCAGAGTCTTTTCCCTATGTTGCCCTGGTTGGTTTCAAACTCCTGGCCTTAAGTGATCCTCTCCTTCTGCCTCAGCCTCCTGAGTAACTGGGATTACAGGCACATATCACAGAGCCCAGCTGTCAGTGTATATACCTTTCTCCAAGACTTTAAATTTCTTTCTTTCTTTCCTTCCTTCCTTCCTTCCTTCCTTCCTTCCTTCCTTCCTTCCTTCCTTCCTTCCTTCCTTCCTTCCCTTCCTTCCTTCCTTTCTTTCTGTCTCTCTCTCTCTCTCTCTCTCTCTTTCTTTCTTTCTTTCCTTTTTTTAGATGGAGTTTTGCTCTTGATGCCCAGGCTGGAGTGCAATAGCACGATTTCTGCTCATTGCAACCTCCGCCTCCCAGGTACAAGTGATTTTCCTGTCTCAGCCTCCCAAGAGCTTAGATTACAGGCATGTGCCACCACGCCCAGCTAAGTTTTTTGTATTTAGTAGAGACAGGTTTCACCATGTTAGTCAGACTGACCTCAGATGATCCACTCGCCTCGGCCTCCCAAAGTGCCACTCGCCTCGGCCTACCAAAGTGCTGGGATTACAGGCGTGCTCCATGCACCCGGCCAAGACTATTAAGCACCCAGTAGGTGGTTTACATTGAATGGAACCAGAAGCAGAACTTTGGCCAAAGAGATGGGGACAAAGGAATGAGAGCAAAGGTGAAAAAGGCAAAATGTCAAACAATATCATTCTTTTGGATAAAAATGTAGTCTTTTCACTTGCAATGAGGTAATGCTAAGGAAGTTTTTTTCCACAGTCTGCATATACTTAGTACAGTTAAAATTAAATCATCGTAAAATAGAAACTACAACTAGCAAAGGTGTTGAGCATGAATGTCAATTAAAAATGATGTAACAATATAAATATTAACAGAAAGTTTGAGTATCAACATCGTCTATAGAAAAAAGGTGGCTTAGTCAGCACACAAGTATTAGTCACAGTGAGAAAACCAATAATTCTGAAATGTAGGGACCTGTTCACAGATCAAATATGTGTAAAGGACATATCCACAGTCACCCAAAGATGTTTATAGAGCATGTTCAGCTCAGTTTGTATCATCTGGGTGTGTTTTGTGTACATCTGTTTAACTTTCTTCTTGAGATAACGTCATTCCGCTTTTCTCAAATTGTATTATTGTGGGTTTAAAAAAATTTTTTTTGTTGTTTGTTTTTTGAGACAAGGTCTGGCTCTATCGCCCAGGCTGTAGTTCAACGGCGCGATCTAGGCTCACTGCAACTACCGCCTCCGGGCTCAAGTCATCCTCCCACCTCCGCCTCCCAAGTACCTGGGACTATACTGACCAGGCTCCCATTTTCCAATTGAGTGCTCCCTTTCCCTTGTTTTTTCCCTTTCTTCCTCCCAGCGCAGCTCATCTCTCAAAGCCTGTGAATGCTGCCGGTGGGGTGGACAGAGGAACAGTTTGGAGATGGTGTCAAGGTAACATTCCATTTCTCTCCTGGTCTTCTGCCCCGCCCTCCCATATTAATATGTGGTTTTCACTTGCCAAGAGGCAGGCCCAAAGTTTCTGCAGCACCAAACTGCAGGTGCAGTTGCACCAAGCAACTTACATTCAAACAAACACAAAATCACAAACCAAGCCCGTCTCCATAAATCCCACATCACGACTGCCTTCCCTACTTCCTCCTTAGAGGTACTTCTCAGCCCTCCAGCTCCTACTGAGAACACAGCCAGTCAGGAAGTCCCTACTTCAGGAACACCAACCAATCAGGGGGCCGTCACCTGCTGAAGGTGCGGAATTCGTCTCCTGACGCGACAGTCTCCTGGGCCAATCAGAGGCAGCTCAGGTGGGGAAAGGCGCAGTGCGCCGAGGCGGGGAGTGGCGGCAGGGTAACACCTGGCCGAGGTGACTCGCTCTGAAGAGCGGCGGTTCCTTACTCCAATCGGAACGCGCCGGGGTGGGGAGCTGGCCAATCAGCCGTGGAGGGCGGGGCCAGGCGGGGCTCCACCTGGCGGCTGGCTCTCAGTCCCAGCGCTGAAGTCTGCGGGGCTGTGTCTGTTCCCAGGAACCCGTCGGCGGCTGTTGTAGCGGGAGCCTGATCGCGATGGGGACAAAGGCGCAAGCCGACAGGAAACTGTTGCACCTCTTCATATTGGCGATCCTGTTGTGTAAGTTCCCGGAGTTTCGGGAGGAATCGGCTGGTCGGGTCGGAGGTTGGAGGAAGCCTCTCCCCACGCCCCTAGCCCGCGGGAGGGGAGGAGCTCAGAAACCTTCCTACCTCGCTCTCCTAATTCTCTTTTCCACCCCTGGCTGGTCCCTCTTTCACCACTCTCACAGCTGGGTGAGTGGCTGGCTCCCCTCCCCCACACTGGTGAGTTGTGACCGTACCCCTCACGCTGCACACACCAGAGGTACACTCCTCGTCCTCACTGCAGAGGGCCGTCAGGCCAAGGACCCGTCCACACTCATCTACCCAGCGCGCGCTCCACACGCACCTGGGAAGGGCCAGCCTGCCCCTCCAGCGCGCACCCACGAACCCCGCTGCGCAACCGGGAGCCTTGGCTCCTTAAGGGTCCTCGGAGAAAATCGAATGGCGGTGGTCTGGGGTGGAAGTCTCTTTCCCTAGCTTTTGCTGAAGGAGTCTCTGGCTCCTCTGAATCTTTGGTTTGCGGCCGTTGCTCTGGGAAAATATCTGGGTGCACAGTCTAAAGAGGAAATGCATTAGAAACCTGAAATTTCTCTAAGCGCAGCAGAGGTTCCAGCGAAGTTCCTTTCTGGAATATCTACCTCAGGAGTCCTTAATACGTGTTGTTGACTGAGTGACTCTTCCCAGGGGGAGAGTGTATCTGTTGGTTGGCTGGATTCTCATCAGAGCCAGAGCTCTGCCCTCCCACTGGCTGTGTATGAGAGTTTTTGTTTCCTTTGTAAACTCCCTTTCCTGAGTAACAATGAGGCTCACTTGCTAGGGCATGCCTCTGTCTCTAGATGTGTTTGTGTGGGGCTGAGCGTGTCGTCGGTTGGTTTGTGCGTTAGTCAACCTGTGGCATCACCTGTGTGTTTATCTGTCTGATTCTTGAGTGTGCGTGTCCTTGTGTGGGTAGTTGTGTCAGTATGTGTTCTACATGAGTCTCCCCTCACCCCCAAGGTTCTTTTGTAGAAAGTGTTAAATAAATGAATGATTACAATCAGTACTGGTGTCTGTAGATTCGCTGCCCTTAGATGAATTGACTGCTCATTTGTACCTTATCACAACATAAACCCTTGGGGGAGATTGGACCAGAGGCATATCTCGTCCTCTTTGTATTTTACTGATAAGGAAACAGGTCCAAGAGGGGAAATGACTTCCAGGTTGACAATAGAGTTAGGGGTGGAACCTGGGAATGGAACCAAACCCTCTCGACTTGCTTTTCCTTTTTCCATTTTTGGATCCAGCATCTCAGGCACCCTATAGCACAAGAACTGTTTGGGATACTGCTTCAGAATCTACTGTCTTACTTACCTTTAAACTTACTTGCCTACTAGCTTCTTCATTCATGTCTCCCCCGCCTCCTTTTTTTTTTTTTTTTTTTTTTTTGCCCAGGCTGGAGTGCGATGGCGCCATCTTGGCTCACCGCAACCTCTGCCTTCCAGGTTTAAGCAATTCTCCTGCCTCAGCCTCCGGAGTAGCTGGGATTACAGGCATGCACCATCACGCCCGGCTAATTTTTTTGTGTTTACTAGAGACGGGGTTTCACCATGTTGGTCGGGATGGTCTTGAACTCCTGGTCTCAGGTGATCCACCAGCCTCGGCCTCCCAAAGTGCTGGGATTACAGGTGTGAGCCACCGCACCTGGCCATGTCTCCCTTTTATTCTACTCTTCGATTTCCCTTTTCTTTATTTTCCCTTTTTTCTCTACCCCTTGCCTATTTTACTTCTGCTTGTATTTTAGAACTGCTAGTGACAACCATAGTTAATTTTTGGTTATGTGGTTCTGGCACTAAAGGTTTTTCCAACCTTTGTCCTGTGCCAGTATTTTTCCCCTAAGCCCAGAAGTTTCTTCTAGGTGAGTGACTGTATTTGTAACAGTTTTTGTCTATGACAGTATTTGTCAGGCTTAAAAGTTTCCTGGAGCTGCTTCCTCCCTATCCTTTGCCACTGCTTCCTTTCTTTTTTCTTCTTCTAATTTCCTATATTATTTATGATAATCCTAAAATAATCATATACTGGCACTGGAAGGGTTGTGATAGCACCATTTTGAGCTTGGAGGTGTCTTCAGGGAACCAAGCCACAGTAGTGCAGGGGGAACCTGAGATGATGTCGCATTAGCCTGTTAGGACAGTGGGTCCTGGGAAGTGACATGTCCAGGGAATGGAGGAACTGACCTTGTAACTTTTAAATCAGGCTAGATCTGGGGTGGGGTTGGGGGAGGGGAGTCATTTGGTTAGTGCAAATGAGGATGGAAATGGGAGCCGGGCCGCCACACCTGCGTTCTAGCTTGGCTTTCTCTCTGCCCTGTTTGTGATCTTAGGCAGTAGCTCAGTCTTTTCATCTGTAAAATAGGAGTAATACTTGTCCCACCCTTGTCATGAGTGTGGTATCACCACTGAGGAGTTCCGGGTGGGCAGGGCAGAATTGCCCTGCATCTGGGTCATTCTCTGAGTCCCGGTGTTTCCTACTGATGTTTCTGAGTCAAGCCCTTCTAGCTTTGCCCTTTCAGGGGCAGGCATACCTCAAAACTGTAGACTGGTGAGTTACTCCTCCTTTCCTCTACTTCTCCCAGGAGTGAATTGTTCCCTCCAAACTAGAAAATGGTGACTGGCACTTCCTAGTTCTACCTGAAATTAGGAAAAGAGTGGCAGTGGAATTCCAGTGCCCTTTAGTCTTTGCCTTCTGGCTCTCGACCACTTTTTTTTTTTTTTGAGACAGAGGCTGTTACCCAGGCTGGAGTGCAGTAGCATGATCTTGGCTCACTGCAACCTCCACCTCCCGGATTCAAGTGGTTCTCCTGTCTTAGCCTCCCCAGCAGCTGGGACTGCAGGCAGGCAGCACCATGCCTGGCGATTTTTTTGTATTTTTAGTAGAGATGGGGTTTCACCATGTTGGCCAGGCTGATCTCGAACTCCTGACTTCAAGTGATCCTCTTGCGTAGGCCTTCCAAACTGCTGGGATTACGGGCGTGAACCCCTGCACCCGGCCACTCCAAACCACTTTTACCTCACGATGTTGCTCTTCAGTTCCTTTGTGATCATGGCTTGTGGAGTCTACAGCCCAGTTCTGATTCAAGATAGAGCTACTGTGATTTTTTAAAAAAATATTTATTTAGAAGAGGTTAATTGACACGGTGTTATAATTAAAATGATATCAAAGCGGTGGGGTATCTCATTCCCACATTGCTGCTGTTCACCCCAAACCCCAATAGTTTCTTTTTTTTGAGCTGGAGTCTAGCTCTGTCACCCAGGCTAGAGAGCAGTGGTGCATCTCAGCTTACTGCAAGCTCCGCCTCCTGAGTTCATGCCATTCTCCTGCCTCAGCCTCCCAAGAAGCTGGGACTACAGGCGCCCGCCACCATGCCTGGCTAATTTTTTGTATTTTTAGTAGAGATGGGGTTTCACTGTGTTAGCCAGGGTGGTCTCGATCTCCCAGCCTCGTGATCCGCCCACCTCGGCCTCCCAAAGTGCTGGGATTACAGGCGTGAGCCACTGCGCCCGGCCCCTGAACCCCAATAGTTTATGTTTCTTTTCAGTGTTCCATTTTACAGATACAAGTATATATAAATAAAACTTGTTTCTCCCCTTTCTGACACAAAAAGAGGCATACTACATATATTCTACATCTTGCTTATATGTATATATATCATGGGGTTTCATTTTGTTGTTGTTGTTTTTTGAAACAGGGTCTCACTCTGTTGCCCAGGCTGAAGTACAGTGGCATGATTATAGCTCACTGCAGCCTTTTTTTTTTTTTGAGACAAAGTCTTGCTGTGTTGCCCAGGGAGGAGTGCAGTGGCGCGATCTTGTCTCACTGCAAGCTCTGCCTCCCAGGTTCAAGTGATTCTCCTGCCTCAGCCTCCCGAGTAGCTGGGACTACAAGCGTGCACCACCAGGCCTGGCTAATTTTTGTATTTTTAGTAGAGATGGTGTTTCGCCATGTTGGCCAAGCTGGTCTTGAATTCCTGACTTCAAGTGATCCACCTTCCTTGGCCTCCCACAAGTGCTGGGATTACAGTCACGAGCCACCGTGCCCGGCCTCATTGCAGCCTTGACCTCCTGGGTTCAAGCAATCCTCCAGTCTTAGCCTCCTGAATAGCTGAGGCTATAGGCAAGCGTGAGTGGTAAGCCATACCTGGCTAAATTTTTTTAAAATTAAATTTTTAATTTTTTTAGTATAGACAGGGTCTCACTATGTTGTACAGGCTGGTCTTGAATTCTTGGCTTCAAGGGATCCTTTTGCCTCAGCCTTTCAAAATGCTGAATGACAGGCATGAGTCACCACACCTGGCCCATATTGGTTTCTAGGGATTGTGGCCTTGGCTGTTAGGATACATCCCACCCCCTCCAAGTCAGCTGAGTTCAATGTGCACTTGTTCTATGGACACATAAATGGGCAACACACATTTCCACCACACCCAAAAATAGATTTAAATGCTATGCACATTTTATGTGATAGGAATAATGAGACTTGTTTATCATATCTGTTAGGTTTGACTAGAGACCCTGGGGATCTCTAAACTCAAACCAATTTCTGTTTCAGAGATTCAGGAAAGACCTGGATGACCTTGCGTCCAACGTAATTGAGGATGAGGTTTCACTATTGTGTGAGGGTTGTAGAAAGCAGTATGAGTGAACACGTACTGTGAGACTAGACGCACACTGGGGTTTTCCTGGCATTGAAAACCCAGAGTTCATCTGCCTGGACTCCCTGATAAGCAGGGTTTCTGTCTAAAGTCCAGCTGCGTCATTTGTTTCACAATGTAGGGGTGGAACAGGAGGAAGCAGCTGGCTGGCAGGAAGTGGATGCCGGGCCCCTGAAGTCAGTCCTGGGTAGGCAGGCTCAACCTTCCTTTGCACTGGGAAGATGGGGTGGCTGGGGAGCTGAGCAGGTAGAACCGGAAATTCTGCAGAGGGGGCAGGAGGGAGCCAGGGAGTGAAAGCGCTCCTGTCTTACCCTGCCATTACCACTTTCTGCTAT